TTACTTTATATGATAGTTGGGATGACACCGATCAGATTCGTTCAAGAGTGGGATCATTGATTGCTCTAAGGATCAGAAAGATCAGACGGCTGGTCCGGTATTTGTACATGATGGATCAGTCCCTTGGCACGGATCCGGAGTCTCAAAGACCCGATCCGATCACGTGATCATCCGACGTCCAACATCAAGTCCATTTCCGCGACACACCCCCCAGTCCGACGCCGTCTCAAAAAGTCGGACTGCTATTCGCATGAGTCGGATCACTCATCGTGGTGCCCCTCTATCTTTTTGATCCTCTGTAAGTCCGCCACTAACCGGCGCGCCCCTCCATGGGCATAAAAGCTGCTCCTCTGGTCGCTTTCGACCATCACACCTTGTTCCTTCGAGCTTCTTCAAAAAAATATGCCTGCTGCATAATCATGAGTTCTCCTTTCTGTTCCCATAAAATGCTCGAAAACAAGTGTTCGCAGCCAGTATGTGCGGCTGCTCAGTTCCTTCTGGTAGCTTTGACCAGTCTCTTAAAATTGATCGATCGCCAACTATATGGCGGTCCAAAAAGTCGTCCCGGACAGGCTATGTTGTCCTGGACCTTCTGCTCCTGTGTGTAGAAACCTGCTGAAAAATGACATCCGTATTGGTCAATGTCCTGGTCCTGAGTCTTTTTGCGGTTGAGCGGTTAATCTTGCGTTTTGAAGACTTCGTGAGGTGCGCGGTGATGATCAATAATCCTTGCGTTGTGAATGGTCGGAGATTGTTTGTTATGCTGAAAACTGGTCGGCGAGCATCACACTGGCAACGCTGAGAGCGTTGCCCCCGCTGGGCTAGCGCCAATCCCTGATGTTGATGCCTATGGCTCAGTCCTTTGCTCAGCTGCTCCATGTTTTCTACTTCACCATCACAACAATCCTCACCATCGCCTTTACTCCGCACTATCACTCCTTCGAATTCCCGCACAGCACGCTCTCCACTCTTCTCGCCTTCGCTCTCCTTCGCTCTTTCTGCTCGTCTTCGTCGTCGCCGCTCCAGTCATGGTAAGTTTGAGCAGCTGCGCAGCAGTGAGTGAGCAAGATACTAACGAAATGCAGCCTGGGACTACTCGCGGCAAGGCCGCTCAACGAGCCAATGCCGAACATGCTCGCAACTCCAAGATCGCTGCCTCCGGTGGCTCGCGTTCGGCCGGCGCTCCCCGTTCCACTGCTGGTGATCGCTCTGGGCCCGAGTCTCGTCGCCGCACCGCCTCTCCGATCAATGATGATGTAAGCCCGTTTTCTCGCTCGTCTGTCAAGAAGCAATACAACTCTCAAGCTGGTGCTCCTCGCGAGTTCGCCTGCGAGCGTTGCGTTAAGCGGTGGGCTTCGAACAATGGTAATGGGCTTTGTTATGATCGGGCCAACAGCAAGAGCGGTCGCTGCGAGGCCTGCGGAAGCCATGTGTGTGCTCTGGTGTAAGTTTCGCGCTCAGTCCCTGATCTTGATTAGATTGGCTAATGCTGTTCCTAGCGACGAGTCGATCGCCAGTGACGTTTACGCCGCCATGAAGCAAGGCATGCGTGAGCAGCGCAAGGACGCTCCCTTTGTAAGTAATGCTCCAGTTGATCAATAGCTTGTGCATAGCCAGACTCCGCAACAATCAATCGGATCGGCATGATTGATTCCTATCTAGGTTAAAGGCTGCCTAATGAAGTAATTCTTTAACCTATATAGGAATCAATCATGTCAATCGATTGATTGTTGCGGAGTCTGTGCATAGCTAACAAGGTTGTCTAGCATATTGTCAAGAAGTACCGCGATGTCGTCTTTGAGATGATCCAGAAGCTTGATGATCGCATTAAGTCTGAGCGTCCATCTACTCGCGCTTCTGAGAAGGCCCCCGTGTCCCATGACAACAATGATCAATTCGTTTCTGAAGAGGAGGACGTCGTTTTTGACATCGATGAATACCATGCCCGCTCTTCTCAGAAAGAGGAGGACTATGTTGATCTCTCTGGCGAGGCTGACTACACTACGCCTACTCGTAAGACGAGCATCTTTCGCCAGGATGAGTATGATCCTTTTCTTGATCGTGAGCCTTCTGCTGGTCCTTCGTCTGCTCGAAAGCCTCAGCGTCTTGCTGTTCCTGATCGCGCTGCTGTTCGTCGCAAGTCTATTCAAGACTTTGCTGATCGCATTAGCAAGATGGCCATTGAGTTTGCCGAGAAGCTTGAGCGTGATGAAGCTTAGGTTCTTTTCTTTTCTGTTAATCTTTTGCTCCTTCTTGGGTAAGCCTCGCTGATGACGCATTCCAGCTAATTGAGGCCTTTGGCCTTAAGCCTTGTATAGTAGTTTCCTCAATCAGACCAATTTCCTTAAACAACGCTTCATTGATCAGCGATCTGTTGTTTCGCATCTTGAAGATTGAGCTGTGCCTTAAACCTCTCAAACTGTTGTTGGGTCAACGACTTTGTGAGACCATCGGCTGGCATTGAGCTGGTCTCCAGGTATTCTACCTGGAACGATCCCTTTGCGTGCTCCTGCCTAAGCCACATGTTCTGAATGTCCACATGTCGTAGTCTTGTTGTGATCCGCTCATTCTTCCCAACAACCAGCCGAATCGTTTGTTGATTATCGCACCAGATCTTCCAAACGTCCCCAAGATCAAGGGTTAGTTCCTTAAAGAAGCGCTTGAGTGCCATGGCTTCCTTAGCTGTATGCTCAAGAGCAAGGAGTTCAGCTTCGGTAGTCGAGGTGGTCACTGTGCTCTGGCGCGTCGCTTTCCAGAAGATCGCGCCGCCAAAGAGCATCGCAATGTAGCCGTGCGATGAGCGACGCGTTTCCGGATCATCCGCAAAAGACGCGTCGCCACAGATGACCAGGTCTGGTCCATTGTAGTGCCCATACCGGATGGCATCCCATCGAGTCCTGTATAGATACATGATCACTCGTTCCACCGCCTTCATGTGCTGATCACTTGGATTGGTCAGGAAATGGGACAGCCTAGAGACAGCAAAGGCTACGTCAGGTCTGAGCATGATAGCCGTGTACAGGACTGATCCGACTCTTTCCTGGTATGCCTTGATCTGCTGCTTGGTTGCCTCTCCATCAGACTTGATCAGTTCTTCCGACGGTAGCGGAGTGAAAGGGAATGTTCCATCCTCCAAGCCAAACTTCTTGGTGATCTTGTCAATGTACGTGTCATGGACCAGGGTGATCGTCCGAGAGTCTCGGTCCCGAATGACCCTAACCCCAAGGAACCACTTGACTGGTCCTTGTGCCTTAATCTCGTACTTCGAACTAATCACTTTCCACAATTCCATGGCTTGATCCTCAAACTCTTTGCGAAACATGAGCAGGATGTCGTCCACATAGAACAACAACAAGAACTTGCGATCCTTGTCCAGAAACAGGCAGGGCTCTTCCTTCGAGCACTCTAGTCCTGCTTTCCTAAGCGATCCAGAGAACTCCTCATACCAGAGGAGTGGCGAGTCTCTCAATCCGTACAACGCGCGATTGAGCCGAACACACATTCCAGGTTTCTTAAATCCGTCAGGTAGCTGACAGAACACAGGATTTTCTGCCGTAATCTTAGCATTCAAGAATGCTCCTACGACATCAAATTGCATGATCTCCATATCGAACTCAGCTGCGATCGCCATGGCGGTCCTGAAGGATTTGGCCGCCAACGTGGCTGCATAAGTAGAATCCAGCGAGTCTTTTTCTTGGAGATCGCCTCTCACAACAATCCGAGCTTTGCCTCGATCAAGGTACCCATCCTGATCACACTTATATGTCCAAACCCATTTGAGCGGGAGTGGCTTATCAGGGACTTGATCCATAGGGATCTCGGTCCATGTACCTTTTTTCCTAAGCAAATCAATCTCCTTGTTGGAGGCATCCATAAACAGAGGGCGCATCGAATGGCTCTGTAGCTCGCGCCATGTTAGTGGTGGTTCGGGCAGGACGTCCCTATGTGGACGATCCCCCGAATCAAGTGCCTGCGGCACAGATGGATCGAGCGTCGCTGACATGACCACGGCATTCAGCGTCTTATAACTTGCTCGATCCTCCCAGGTCTCATTTATCCCTGGTATGTACGTGTGCTTGAAATCGCTCCATGGACCATCCATATCTTGAAGATCCGCGATCAATGCGTGCACACCTCTAGGTGCAGCTCCACCCCCCAGTTGATCGTCCGGATCCTTGCTTCTGCCTCGTCCACGCCTAATAGGCATATAGCGATGGACCACATCGGGCTCTAGCTGATCTCCCCGGAGTCTCCCACTGGTCCTTTGTGTGGGCGCACTTAATCCAACATCCGGATCCCCTGTTGGCGCAGTTGCCCTTGAGGAAGATCCCGCCGATGCGCGCGGACGTCCACGACGTCTCGTGCCTCGAGCAACCAATTGTTCTCGAGTGGTCATTCCCTCTTGATCATCTGCGTCAGTGGACACTGGTTGCGCAGGAGATTCATCGAGTTGCGTCGGGCGCTCCAGCCCTTCGCCACGTGATCGAGTAACGACTAGACCACCCGCATCTGGATCTCCAATTCCACCAGGTTGATGCATTCCCTGTTGAATACCAGATGGGAAACGCCGATCAGCGTCCATCCCAGAGCCATGCGGCTCAGGCGTCTGCTCTGGGGTTGCAAGTCCATATCCCGGATTCTGACCTGTGCGAATTCTCAAATGATCACCGGCCAGTGAATCACTTCGCTCAGTCTCTGCTTGCCCTTGTTCCTGATCATCTGGCTGGCCGGCCACTGGTTCAGGTCCTTCGGGTAGCTCACCCCCGAGATTGCTCTCAGTGGTCAGATCCGTCGTCTGGATTGCCTGATCTCCGAGGGACGGGATATCAATGTCCGCCCCTGGATCATGCAATTCTCCGATATCAAGCACATCCGCAAGTTCGATTGCTTGTTCCTTTGGCATCTCATCCTCGTTCTTCCCTGTGTAGAAACGAGTCTCGTCAAAGGACACATCGCGAGAAGTGATCACTTGATCAGTAATGGGGATCCATATCCTATAGAGATTGGACGCTCGATAGCCGACCAAATATCCGATATGACCCCTTGGATTAACTTTGAATCCACGACGATCTCGCCCTGCTGCGCGGTCCCGATCCAAGGGATATGCGCGACAGCCATAGGCGTAGATCCCACTCCAATCTGGTCGCAGATCCGCGGTGCGGTGTCTAATCTGCGCAGGCTCGTACCATCTAAAGTACTGCCTAAACCAGCTCTCGAGGATTTCATTGGGAGATCGGTACTGATGGACTGCGGTAGGGCTTCTCGCGTGTAGGTAAGCCGCCGCATCCATGATCTCAGGCCAGAGCTTCTCAGGGAAGTTTGCGCTAAGGCGCATCTTGATCGACTTCGTGATCAGCTCTTGACCCGCCCGCTCCGCCGAGCCATTCGGCTCATGTGTATATGGCGGAGGACTGAGGATTGTAATCCCCTTCTCTTCGGCCCATTCCTCGTATCTTGATCGCCCTCTCCAAGGCAAAGTAGCAGTATCGTTATCCTGATGGATTTCTACGATCCGCAAGTCGTACTTCCGTTGTACCCAAGCTTCAAAAGCCGTGATCACCCGCATGATCTCTGACAGAGTCTTCCCTTGGACATTATGATTAAAGATTTTGCCTGAAAAATCTTCTTTGATGATCAGAGCAAACTGCTCATTTGATCGTCCCTTTGGAAAATCGAACAGATCCCACGAGACTCGATAGAATGGTCGGGGGGATCGCTCTCTTGGTCTCCGAGAGATCACCTGTGTGGCATGGGTAGTGGCACAATGCTCACACTCCAGCCGTCGGGTGCCTTCGATCCTGACGTTCTGGGCAGCTTGGGCGAGTGCTTGCAAAGCTTTCTGACCCAGGTGGCCTGATCTTTGATGCCACAAAAACTCATCATCTGATCGAAGTTTTGGCTGAGCCGATCGTCTCACACTGTTCACCAATGGTGGCACAGAAGGATAACGGAATGGCTTGTATTCGATAAAGACTAGGTTATGGGCGACGTGGAGCTTTCTGAGGATAATGCTGTGCTCCATGTCCCCAGAACGGATAGTCCAATCATAACCAGTGTACCAGAATCCGACCTTCCTGAGCAAGGCTTCAGAAACAATGTTGACATGAAATCCTTCAACAACCATAACGTTCTTAAGCAACAGGTCCTGTGGACCGTCTGGTCCATTAAAGAAATCTTTGAACAGTCGATCACCCACCCCCGAGACTGGCAAGGATTGAGTACCAGCCTCGACTGTCAGGTAGTCCAAGCACTTCTTGTAAGTTCCTGGGACCAATAGGTTCCGATCATTGGCAAGGTGGAGCGCGCCACCGCCGTCGAAGATCGTGCTATAGGAAAATGGGTGACCACCATAGTTAAGGTTGAAGATAGCATTGCTCAGATCCCTCAAAGTGCGAGGATCAATGACACAAGCCACGATGGTGTTCGTAGTCTTGGACTTCTCAGACGTTTGCTGAGCGGGATTGATCTTCCATCCGGCTTGTTTCAGCTGTGTGAGCAGCGTTGAAAACTTAGAACTGTGAAGCCTTTGGTTGATCATCCTAGTATCCGTGTCAGACAAATGGATCGGAGTAGGTCCTGGATCAGATTTTCCAGTGATTGCCTGTTGAAGCCTGCGGCATTTAATGGGCTCCCAATAATGGGATGGCTTGCCGGGTTTGCACGGACAATACTTCCGTGGTCCTCCGGTTGATCCTCCGGAGTTTCCTCCGCTCGGAGCGGATTCACCGCCGAACGTGGAGAACACTCCAGTTGATCTGCCCTTTCCGCCAGCTTCGTGCTCTTGCATGGTCAAGTTGAACACTCTAGCCACATCGTCAAGGCTCATGGTCGGCTGACCCATAGCTGACGCGGTCGTGATCGTTTGTCGCAAATTGCGTGCCCAGTCAGGAGCGATCTTTGCCGCCAACGCATCCAGAAAGTCGGTGACAGCGAGATCACCCCTAACTTCGTGAAGTTCGAACGCTTGAGCTTTTGCATAGAGAGCCTGCCAATCGTTGAACCACTTGTCTACATTAGATCGACCAGTTTTGGCCTTCTCTAAGTGAGCCCTGTATTGGATGCGCAGGAGGTTCTTGGTGTTCGAATCCGATGGCGAGAGACGCTTCTTGAGCTCCCTAACTACAGCCTGTGGAGTGGATGTTCCGCGCAGGAGTTGCATGGTGATCGGCAGGAGCAAGTCCTGGGAAACTGTACGATTGATCCACTCATTGATGTTTGC